TTATCTAAAAGGTATAAAACTACACCTCTAAATCATATACACTATTACCTCAATTTTAAATTAAGGTATAGTTTAAGTGTCTACTAAGCAGAAGGTACCATCCTTTATAACCAGGAGGAAGTAAAATTAAGCAAAATAAAAACATTCTTAATGTGTACGTGACATTAGGCCATGTCTCTAAAAAGAGACTGCAACTCTTGAGAAAAAGAAACCCTCTTACACTGCTAGTGGGAATGTAAAGCAGTCCAGTTACTATGGAAAGTTGTGTGGAGCTACTCACAACACTAGAAAAGGACCTGGCATACAATCCAACTATTCCACCTAGGAGTCTACCCAATATCACAAAAACACTAATTTGAAAAGAAACCTGCACAGCTATGTCTATGTCAGCACTATTCACAAAAGCCAAGAAATGGAAACAACCTACATATCCGAAATGGATAGGAAGATGTAGTATATTTACCCAATGGACCCAGTGGAATAATACTCAGCAAATAAAACAGATAAACTTATACCATTTGTGACAACATAGAGGAAGCTGGAAGGGATGATGCTAAGCAAAATAAGTCAGAAGGAAAATATTTTAAAATATCAGATGGTTTCACTTATGGTTAGAATATAGAAAGTCAAACAAATTGTCAAAGATAAACCTTGCAAGCTGACCACAGATAAAAGACATCATTGGGCAGAGAGGAAGAGAAGTAAAACTAATGAATTTCTTTTCATATAGACAAATACAATTTTAATCATAATTACATTCATCTTACTTGTAAGGTGATTAACTTTGTGTGTCAATACGGCTGAATCACAATACCACTGAAGGTATTTTTTAGATAAGATTAACATTTAAATCAGTGAAGTCTGACTAAAGCAAACTATGTTCCATGGCTTGAAAGTCTTAACAAAAAAAAAAAAAAGACTTCCTTGGAGGAAAAGGAAAAAGACTGGAATGTCCCCAGATTTTGGACCTTCACCCTTCTCACTGATGTGAGCCAACATCTCAACACCTCTTGATCTCTCTCTCCTTAGATAAAATCCACATACTGTTTTCTATTTCTCTAAAAACAGAGACAAATATTACTCTCATATGATCAAATTCATCCTGCAATAAATGATCTCATCATCAGATTACTTTTTACCTTTAATTTTGATCAAATGAAACCAATAAAAACAAAAAAAATCTCTTCATCATACTTTAGCAGGGTTGCTGAGGAAAATCTTTCAAAACTTCAAACCAAACTAGCAGACAACCCAGAATCTTCCATGAACACACCTTTTTGAGAGGTTTCCATGGATCTCCATGACCTGAACTAACTAAGGCTAAATATCAGAAGCCAGCAATGTTTCAATAAAGTAGCTTCCCTTTTCTGAAGTTCCAAATATCTTTCTGTTGTCTTATTAATCAGTTTCCTAAATCTTCTGCTGTTTTGAATAAGGTGTTGAATTCCTTTATCTGACATTGTTTTGCTTTTAATATATTTTCAACTCTAGAATTTATATTTGCTTTTACGATAATTTGTAACTCCTTGTTGTAACTCTCTTGTTCAATCACTATTATCATACTTTCCTTTAATTCTTGAAACATTGTTTATTTTGTTCTTAGAATACTTAAAGTCCCAGTCTGCAAATTTCAAAACCCAGAGAAAATCTGACACAGTTTCTTTGCCTGCTCTTTTATCAGTATGCCTGTTCTTTGGCATGTGTCCTAATTTATGTTGAAAAGTTAGACACTTTATGTATAGTATCACAATAATGTGCAGTTACTAATGTTTCTGTGAAGTTTTACTTTTCCTTAATTCTTGTTTAAACTTAAAGGTCTGACTTCCTGGGAGCTGGCCATGTGTCAGTACAGCTTAGTGAACAACCAATGGTTCAATAGAGAATTTGCTCAAATATGCTGAGTAGATAAAGATCCCTATCCTTTCAAAAGGATCTCTGTGTGGGTAGGAGAGCACATTAATCATTCAAAGTATTTTCAAGTCTCCACAGATTGTAGTTTCCCTTGGATCTTTTTGTGGCTCCTCTGCCAACACATGAAGCCTCAGCTAACCATGATGATTAGGCTAATAGATATATTGATCTTTGCTCTCATATCCCCCAACACCATAACATCCACAAACAGTGCTGCCATACACAAGAGAAAGCCTAAACTGCAAGTTGAATGAGCAGCTCCCAACCACTGCAGGGTAGTTTTAATATGCAAAACTTTCCCTACATGAAAGAATCAAGCAATAAAATGTAACATAGAGTGTGTTAAGAACCATTCCAGGCTGCTTTTACAGATTCAGCTGTTATTATGCAAAGTTTACCAGTTTCTCAAACACAAAGACTATTTTGATTGTTGTAAGTAATTTAGTTCCAGAGCATGAAATTGATTTTACCTGTTTTTCTGAATGATCTTAGTTCTAAGTCACCATATCTATGTGTATTTATACCATTCTCTGCTATATATAAAATCTACTGTGGAAGTCCATTCTCTTACACATGTACTACAAAACTTTGCATTTCTTTAAACCTAGTATATGCTATACCACCCTCATGATGAAGCATTCTCCCTTTAATCATTTCTCAATCTCTTTCTTTTCTAACTTATCGATAGACATCATTATTTAACTTTTTTTTTTTTTTTTTTTGGTGGATTGTGGTGTTTTCTCCCTCTTCCCCTCCAGCCACATCCTTAATCTCTGGACAAGAACTAGGTTTTTCATGAATTTGTAACTTTATCCTATACTTGGCAGAATGTGAAGTATGCAGTAAATTTTTTGCTACTTCTAACCAAAAATTACAATATAAGAAATTTGCACCCATGGAGTCAAACAATTTCCCTAGAAAGGAACAAGTGACTCCAAGATCTAATCATGCTACACTATTAGCACATTCTTCCCTTCTAAAGTTGAGGCTATGAACAGAAAGAATGTGGCAAGACTGCTAAAGCCAACCTAATATCCATTTTGATCATTTTCCTTTCTGCAATGGGCATAATCATTTTGTCTGGCTTTCTTTGAGTTAACAAAGTGAACTGAAAAGACAACAGTCATCTTGGGATCACTATTAGAAGGGGGTCACCTTCTAAATATGTCAAAACTAGAAAGAACCTTCACTGCATGCCACAGACTTGTAATTACATTGCTCATGTAAGCCACTATAATTTTATAGCAGGGTTTACGATAATTCATTACTGGAATTATGTAGTGAAAAGGTCACTAGAAACCTGGTAACAAAAGTATTCTATGCAATTGAGAAGAATATTATTCTCATATGACATAAGCAGAAAGTAGAGAAAATGGCCAACTTTATAATAAAACAATTCATCATCCCCAGCCACAGTCCACACATTATCACAAGTTCAATCAGCATGAATGAAAACGGAAATCTCAGGTGACGCTTTTGAACAGTGTCAAGCACATGCTACAGCAATAACAAATACTAGTGATAATTGATGATGATGATGATGATGATGATGATTATCAACACCTAATAGTAACTTCTAACCTACTGTAGATGGCAATCAGAAAACTGACACTGATAAGGGTGCATGGATGGGAATTTTGAGGGGACTACACTTGGGAGGAGCAAGCAAATATTGTACAAAAATGAACAATGGTGCAAACTATATATAAATGAATAAATGTAAATAAAAAAAGACCTGACTATATTAAAAACCACAAAAACTTTAAAAAAAATTTTAATGTTATTAGTTTTTCATTTAAAGTCTGAATTACACCCTATAATAGTTTCATTTGTGTCCTATTATCACCTTGCATATGAGTTAACAGTGAGTAGAGAAGTAATAGGTTTGAATCACAGAAAACCCTAAATCATTTTGTTTCCCTTCCTTTTCCTCTTAATGCACTGTCTTATGACAACAAAGATTTTAGGACATTGAAGTTCCTCGAGAATATCAACACAAATGTTTACCAGTTGCTGTTAAATATATTTGTTAATGTTCCTTACCCAGAAGATCCAGTGCTCTTACAAATACCAAGGAGGGGTCTTTTTTCAGCAAAGTTGTCACACTTTTGCGCACCTGATACGGGACATAAAATAAAAGTAAAACAAAATTTGGTCAGTATTTTGTATATACCTCCCAATATTTCCATGCTCAAAATATTTAGCACTAAAAAAAAAAAGCATAACATAATTGATATAACTGAAACATCTGGATGAATAAAACTAGAAAGCTAGAAAGAACACATATTATTCCTAGAAATAAGTGAACCAGTATTTAAAATATCCTCTTTAAAAAATTAATACTAACTTCAAACATATGTGCATTCTCCAAGAGGTCAAAAATCCACCCTCACCTCTATCAACTAATTACTTATGATTAATATAATCTTGATATCAAAACTAAATAAAGGTAGATTCGTACAGGAAAACTGTATAATCATAGAACATTCTTAATACAGAAATACAAAAATCCTTTTAATAAATGGGTAAGCAAAATGGCAATGTATTGGGGGGAAAAACTCATGTTCAAGCTGGATTTACTCAGCCATAAAAAAACTAACTTCTAGGTTTTATTATTCACTATAGCATTGTTTATAACAGCAAAAGATGACTTAAATCACAATGTATAAAGGAGTATTTACTATAACTGTAAAAGAGTGAAGAATTCTATAAAAACACGCAATGAAAAGCAAAGCATAGCATAGAAAATGGAAGATACACAGTAAACAGAAAACACAGAACACCTTATGTTTTTGGAAGAAGAGAAAAAAGGACTAGCTGCACATAAACACAAACACAAACACAAGCACACAAACTCTTTAGGGATCAAAACAAAATCTTACACTAATAGTTACCTATGGGAGAAAAATGGGAAAAGTAGATAGTAGGGAAAGCGAAAGAAGTTACATATTTATCACTATATATACTCATATAGAGTTGTTTTATATAATTCATAATTTATATAGCAAAAGATTTATATAAAATTTATATAGAAATATATATATGTGTGTGCATTTTAGCTGCAGATATTAGTTTGCAATCCATTTAAATATATCATTCCCAACAAAATTTCGCTTTGTTTTTAAATAAGGAAGCAAGTGCCAGAAAAGACAAGTGGTTGTTTTGGTTTCCGAGATAAACTAATAGATTTCAGATGTCTATTTCACTTAATCCTTTCTGAATATTCCAGTAAAGCTTCATTACCTCAAAATCAATGATTATATATATGTGTGTGTGTGTATACATATATATATATATATATATATAAAATATGCTGAAAATATCTATAAATAGAAAAGCAATAGCTTAGCACCCATAAGTAAAAGTTCAAGCCAGGAATGGGGGTATACAGAACCTGAAATTCAAACTACAAGTGCTAACACCACGTACAAGTGAGACTGGATGTGCACAGGGAGGACGCTGAGGTATCCGGGGATAGAATAAATATAAATAAAAAAGATTTCATATAAATAAGGTATTTGAAAAACACCTAGAGCCTAAGATCTTTCCTTGGCTTAGTCACTAAACATCCTTATTCCCTACAGAAAAATGAAAGGTTATATATACGTATAGAGGGTAAGACAAAAGGACACTAAGTGCAAGTGAACACAAATTTAAAAATAAAAAGAGGATTAATGCTAACAACATTAATATTAATATTAAAACAACCCCTCCTCGTAGAGTGGGGAATGGGATCAAAAACAGTGTGGGGAGGGAAATGCACTGGACTATGATGATGGCACACGGGTGATTTGGTGATGGGAAGTCCAAGGGGATTGCAATTGAGATGGAAAAATGCACAAAATGATGTAAAAATAAACTATTACATTATTTTAAAAAATCCCCTCCTCACCCTTAACTACCTGTCTTCATTGTGCTTCCAGAACTCATTATCACAAGAAACTTATCATGGGCCCAGGGGCTTATAAAATGGCTTGTAAGTTTTCTTTGCAAATTTAACTATTCAATTCATGAAGAAAGTTTATTAAAACACACTGTCAAATAAGTCTACAGCAAAAAAGCATAATAAATCAGCCCACAATAATATTTAACTATTAAGTACACAGAGCTTTCAATCAGCTCTTCATGGTTGCACTTACAAGTACGTTCTAATAGTCCAAGTTTAACAATCATTTGGAAAAGAAGCTAATGCTTACACAGAAAGAAATTTAAAATGAACAGCTATCCCTATTATTTCACAAAATACAAGATATTTCAGCTTTTAAAGGAGGCGTAGACTATGAGAGAGAGAGCTCTTGGAAATCAGAAGGCAGGTAGATATGTTAAAAAAACATGCATCATAAAAAGAGGAGGAACAGTGAAGAGAGATGCCCCCCCAAACACACACTGCTCCAGAACATATCAGCAGATCTAGAAGAGACAGAGTATTTGTACAAAAAAAGACAAATCGCTATTCCACCGCATCTAAAGCAGTCAAACTCAGGGAAAAAAAGTAAAATTTGGCTACTTGGGGTTATGGGTGGATGAAGACACAAAGGGTAGAAGTTAATTTTGCAAGTTGAAAATTCTAGAGATCTGCAAAAATTAACAAAGTTAAAAATTTGGGGAAAGACAGGAGTAAGATGGGAGAGGCAGGTGCTCACAGGTAAATTGTAATCAGGTGAATGGATGGATGGACAGAAAGAGAGAAAGGTGTAAAGATGGACAATTAGTTGCATTAAGTACAGTGCTAAATGCACAAACAGAAATTTCAGTATCAAGGCAGCAATGTATCTCTCAGAATGTAGGATGCAGATGATATTGGAAGAGGTAGCGTCAACATTTTTTACATATTTTACTTATCTGACTGACTATAATAAATGTTAACTACGATGCTAATAATCCATGTTAATAGAGCCCTATAAAAATAATGACATTCAATGCAGAGAAACAGGTTCATGATTACACAGAGTGACACTGAGAACTAACACTAGAATTGTGAAGAAAATAATTATACAAAATGAGATAAATTCTATCATCCTTTGCCAGATTATATTACCAACACCAGAGTATGATAAAGATCAAAACTAAACACATAATTAATGTTTGTGAAGAATGTGCTATGTAACTAAAATTTTTAGACGTATATAACAATCAATATCTAACACAATACTAATTTACTATGGACTCTATGCTCTTACACCATAATAATTAATTAGATTTCACAATTAACAATATGACTTTTGAATGAAACCCAAGTTAAAAATTAACTGGTACATTTCAGTAGATTTGCCTGTTGTGCTCCCCCTCTGTCTCTGGTGAATCCCCTTATTACCCTCCCCATTACCTCTGGCCTCACTTCAGTTCTTGTATGCATAAATAAAAATAAATCTTAAATAAAAATAAAAATTAGGTATAAGCAATCTGAAAAAAAAAGATAAAAATTAACTGGTACAGAATATTTATATTCCAAATTAATTACAACTGAATTTCATCTATACAAGGTCAATTTTTCAATCTTACTAATATTTCCCCTTTAACAGCATATTCCTTCTGCTTCTGGTGTTTACAAGGTCCATATGGTTTCTACTTGTATTATATACACCAAATTTGATATTTTGATGAATGAAGCAACATGGCTTTTAAATACAAGTAATGTTGGCTAGAAAAGCTTGATAGGTTTGCTTTTCTCAAACCTGAAATGAAGAACTTCACTGGTTTCTGTTGATTTACTGGCTTTGATCAGTGCTACTGAATTTGCTGCTCTATAGAATGTTAATCATCTGTCATTTATTAAAGATTTATGCTTTTCATGGATATTCAGATACACAAAGTAGCTGAACAAAATTTTTAAGTTTCAAAATAAAACTCTAGCTTGAGACTAGAGTAACTCTCAAGATATCTCCTAGTAAAAACCATTCAAACAAAAAGGACCAGATTCTGTAATAAGCAGACAAAGAATAACAAAACTCCAAATTTAGTTGAGGAATACTCTTCAGAAAAGTAAAACATCTAAATCGGAGTTTGGAAACTATATATAACAAAATCTTCATTTTAAATAATTTCATTGCCAATGTTCTGAGTCAATATAATTTTCAAACATATAAAAAGTCCACAATCTCACGAACACTACAGCTATTAACCTGATTTTTCATGTAGTATAAATAGTAGCATGTATTCTCTATGATGCCTAATGGAGTCATCACCCTCCCAAAATGTAATCCTCCAAATTGTAGGGGATTAACATTTTATACATAAAATTATATTTATTTGCATGTACAAGAGAGAGAATGAGCTGCACACACCTGTTCATAGCATTTAACAGAATGTTAAAATGTAACATGCCTGAAATGAAAAGAGACTAACCAAATCCATCAAATATAAAAACTATTGCAATCCTGTTGCAAATTCCTTTTGTTAAACTCCTTTTATCCTCAATCCTTTTAATTCTGTCGTATAACACTAAAACATTTATAAAAAGCTTAAAATCCTAATAAATCGCACAATTAAAGTAATGAAAATGGGCCTGTCCACCAAGTCACCAATTCCTCTTCCACTCAACAAAATTTAAGACAGTTCGCTGATCAGAAAATGTAAAATATCCCCCACAATACACACCATAATGAAGAGGTTTCAAACAAACAGTTTAAGTTCAAAAAACAGACTTAAAGAATTCAAGACATCAAACAAAAACCATTTCTAAATAGATACAAAGGTACATATAGACCCAAATAAACAATGAACTGATAGTGAAATATCCTAATACTTTTCTTTTGATGTTAAAGTTTATGTCTTCAATATAACTCGGTTACACAAAACTATACTGATACTAATTAATGTTAACTGAGAATGTCCTTTGAAGGACAATTCCCTTGAACAATTCTCATTTTATCAGTGAATCCACTCTGAAACTTCTATTCTGTTTTTATTTTACTAAAATAAGTTTCCTTTAAAATTATCTATTTTAGTCATGGCCATTTCCTAGAGTCTTTCAACTGTACCAATATTTAGATCTAAATTTAGTTAGAAAATACAATCCTGTTGTCAATTTGGTCAAATGAATACACTTTGTATAATCTGAGATTGTCAGGTTACTTCCCCAACTAAAATATTTTATTTCTCACAATATTGTCTACT